CATACCCCGTCTGATATGAGGTCATCAATTCTGGGAAGGGGATATTTGTTCTTGATCGTAACCTTGTTCAATCCTCTGTAATCAATACACAGTCTCACGTTCCATCTCCCTTCTTTGCAAAAGTGACTCTAGCACCCCAAGGGGACACACTATATCTAATAAAACTACTGTCTTGCAATTCAGTGATATGTTTCCTCAGCTCTTCTATCTCAATGCGGCTCATGCGGTAAGGAGCAACCGAAATGGGCTGGGTGCCTGGTTGTAAGTTTATAGTGAACTCGACTTCCCTATCCACTGGCAGTCCGGGTAGTTCGTCCGAAAACACATATGGAAAGTCTCGGACTACTAGAATCTCTTGGATACAAATTTCCTTCTTGGGCTTGCCTAGTTAGAGAAAATAGCAAGATTAAGGTACTCAAAATTTAAGAAAACTTACCATCAAGGAATAAGTACTAAATGAATTATTAATTTGTAAATGACTCTCATTGGGAGGATTAAATAGAACTTTCTTGTTAAAGCAATCTATGGTGGCATGATGCGCCGCTAACCAATCCATTCATAAGATTACATCGAAATCTCCCGTGTCTAACCCTATCAGGTCTACACTCAGTTTCCTATTTGCTATCTCCACGGCACAAGCCCTGTAGATAACTTCTCCTAATAGTGTTTCACCCCAGCAGTAGACACAAACAACAATGAATCAAGTTTATCAGGTGATACATTAAGTTTGGAAGCAAAAATATGTGAAACAAATGAATGCGATGCACCTGTGTCAAATAAAACATGAGCAATATGGTCACAGATAGTGTACATACCCTGTACCACGTCCGGGTCGACGTCGGCATCCTGCTGGATAAGGTTGTAAATCCTGCCCTGAAAAGGAGGTCTTCCTTGGTTCTGGTTCCTCGGACACTCTCTCGCATAGTGCTGGGCACTGCCACATATGCGACAGGTGTTGTTGAGGCAGTAGCATGGTCAGTTATCGTGATCCCTGCCACATTTCCTGATATGAAATGGTTAAGTAAGGAATGAGCTACACTAGCCCAGTAAAAATATCACACTATCTCACTGCCACAGAAGTAAAGGTTGGTAGAAAACAAAAACGACCAATGGAGCATAATTTATAACAAACTCATTTATTAATGATAAAAACCTTTACTGTCCACTTACCTCGGTGAGATTCGTGAAAATAACACATGAAAATAATAACATTATAATCATCATAAAATCATATACGCTTTGTAACATAACACATGTTATACTTTGCATTTCAATAATCATATAACAAATTTCCTCTTTTACCAGCCTACTAGTATCCGCGGGGATCCATAAGGGGTCCCCGCTACACATGAACCATTAACATTAACAATCTGATTCCAGAGCCATCCCCATACTCCGTCCGGTATGGGGGCCAAAACCATAAATTTCAATACCCCGTCTGGTATAAGGGTGAAACGGGCTGTCCCCATACCCCGTCCGGTATGGGCGCCAAAACCATAACCCTCAATACCCCGTCTGGTATGAGGGTGAAACGGGCCGTCCCCATACCCCATCCGGTATGGGCGCCAAAACACATAAGGTCTTTATACCCCGTCTGATATGAGAGATCACGTTCCCGATAGGGTTCCCTACTGATCCGGTCCGTCCACCATCTTCCAGGATATCTAGTCAGGCTGCCCACATTATCCATTTATCAATTCACATAACCTTTTCTCTATTTTCCTTGGTCTCAATTTTCTAATCATACACAAACACGTAAACCAATAATAACACCAAACAAAACAACACAATATCGGATTCACCATAATTCAAAACATAATAAAAGAAACCATGATTCATGCATACGAAACCATAAAATAAATATATCAAATACCATACTGCATTTAAAGCTGAAAAATAGATCAAACAACAATTGACCGAAAAATACATCAGATTCGGGCTCCATTAGTAACCTTAATTAATTATACACATGTATTAATTCATGAAATGCCGTTTTATTATTTATTGAGCTTTAATACCGTGATAGAAAATAGGGTGAGAAATCCTTACTTGTTTCGGGGTCTGAAATCGGCTCTATAGTGCGCATATGGGCTGTCCCTAAATTCCCTGAATTTTTTTAGGGAAACTGAAACGCACTATCGGTATCTGCACGTGTCCCAAAAACCCCAAATCAAACCCAAGGTCCCTTTTCGGCCAATATCAGAATTCCAGCATGGCGGCTCCGCCGTGCTCCGGCGACGGCACTGCCGGCTGCGGCAGCGATCCGCCTCGGGTAGGCCATTTTCAGCCAAATTCGGCCAAACTTGCATTGGTTCCTGCGATAAAACAACCCTAGGGCCCTCAGTGGGCCAAAAAATCACGAAAAACCGAGACTTACCAGTGGCGGAGCTCTCGGGTGCGACAGCTTCTTCGGCGCGAGTCGCAGTTTGATGTTTTGCTCCGGTCAACTTGTAGAGAAAAGGACGGTGATCACAGTGGTGTAAAAATTGCATCAAACGGGAACCGGAAAGGGTCTCATCGGAGGCAAAAATCGAAGGAAGCCACAGCGGCGCCGCTGGACTTCGGCTGTGTTTTTCGGCCGATTGGCCGGTGGTTTGGCTCCGATTTGGCCATAGGCGGATTCAGTTTCGAAAAATGAGCCAAGAGGAGAAAATTTACCTCATTTGGCAGCCGAAAAATCTCCCGGTGCGGTGACGGGTGGCGGCGGCCGGCTCCTCTGGCGACTGGTTCTTCTTCTCCGGTGAGGGCACTGGCGGCTAGGGTTTGGGTTCGAGTGTGGGTGAGGTTATTTATAACTTTTCCCTTTGAATCTCAGCCGTCCATCACGATTTAATCTGGACCGTCCGATTGCGATTAAAATGGGAATAAATATGAACTGTCCATCGCGATGCGATCTTGGCCGTCCGCACGCGTGAGATCTGGACCGTCCGTGCGCGTGAAATCTGGGCCTTCCGCACACGTGAGATCTGGACCGTTTGATCGCGTGCACGCGGATTGCTCATGTGGCTCCGTCCGCGTGGTCTCCCGTGTCAGCTTCCTTGCCACGCGGCGTGTTCTGGTTGGCCGGGGCCACTGACTGGGCTGCTGACGTGGCACAACTTTCTTAAATTGCGTTTTAATCCCCCGATTTTCGATTTTCTTTTCAAAAACACTAACATAATCTAAATTTTCACCCATTTTTCCTAAAATCAATTTCAATTAAATCCCAAAAATAATTTTACCATATTTTATCATTATTATTATTTTTATTTTCATTAAATTAAATTAAAACCTTATAAATTAAATATTAAAAAATTAAACTAAAATTCTAATATATATTAAAATAAATAAGAAAAAATAAAAATAAAAATAATAAATTAGGTGTTACACTAAGACTCTCTTAGTTTGATAGACTTGAGAGATAAAGATTAAATTGAACAAAACAAGTAAAATAAAAAGTCACAAGTAAGAAGGGCGTTGCATGAGTAGGTTACATGAATCCTACTATTGCTTCTATGGAGAATTTCATATGACCTAGTGTACCTAACATAAAAAAATTATTGAGAATGATGTTACATGATGTGATATAATGCATTCGTAAAGCTTGTGAAGGAAGAGTTATTAGTCACTGTTGGGAAGTTTACATGACAACTTTTAGGTTTTAAAACTTGTAAGAACCATGCCTATTTTTTCATGTATTTGGGAAATAATATTTATAAATATTATTGGAGATTATAAAAGAATTTAGTGGATTATTAATTAGTAGAAGATGAAGATGAAGATAAAATGTTTTAAGACTCTTCTTTTAATATTGATTCTTCAATTATATGTTTTTATTATTCTAGAATTGAACCAAATCAAGATTGATCAAAAGTGTGGATTCAACTAAAAGTGAAAAAAAAGATCGATTTTTTTAAAATAATAGTTTTCTAATAGCAAATAATGAAAACAAAAATAATATTATTTTTTATTTTTATTTTTTATATTTCAGTCCAAATCATTTTATTGATTTACAAACCCAATAACTAAAATTAAATTCAGTTTGGTTAGGTACGTTCACTCTAATATAATTTTTTAATATGGACTAAAATTTGAATGCTTCTACTTCCAATTATAAATGACTATTGCTAGAAATGTGATTGTTAATCATTAGAATGAGTTAGAAAGGCTTCATATTCAAGTAGTTTATTTGTATAAGCCTTTAAAGCCAACAACCTAATCAAGAACCCATACTAGAACAACTATTATTTTAAAGTTAGAGTAGATTCTATTAAATGCACGTAAAATAATATTATTATCGTCAGACTCTAATATATCAATAAAAGTAATTTTATTGACTATTTGATAAATTTAGTAGAGATACTGATAGAAAATATACTATATGAGAAAATTATTTTATTTTTTAAGTGCATGATATGTAAATTTGGGTACATCGATAGGGTACAAAAGAATTCTAAATTTATTTATTAAAGATAAAATTGAGACTGGTTGGGAGTATAGGTTGAAATTGTGCTTTTCTGTATACACAGTTTGGAGATAAAAAATTTCAGAAGAATTTAGATATAAAAAATTATATTAAAATTTTATCAGTGTTAATGAAAACCGTAATATCGATAAAGTAAATAATAATAGTATTGAATTTGGATAAAAATATCAGTATTTTTAAAAAATAAAAAAGAATAATATAAATAAAAATTTGAATACAATAAAGAAATATAAAAGAAAAACCTATATATCCTTTGAATGGTTATTGCATTATAGTTTTATTACATCCAATGAACTAAATCTGCTGTAATTAATTTGAAGATTTTCTAGTTTCATTTACCATAAAATCTATTGTCAACTTTTTTGGACTTTTTTTCTAATGCCTGCTTGTTCTAAGTTGGTTGAAGGAATTTTTCAAAGTTCTTTTTTGTTTAAACAATTCATAGCAAGAAAATATAGCACGTGAATAACACGTAGGTAATTGCTTTAGACGGCGCTATAAATCTATCTACTCGGGCGAAGATGGCGGGGGTTGAGTGAAATGCCAGAGAGAGAGAGAGAGAGAGAGAGAGAGAGAGACAGAGAGAGAGAGAGTCAATCAAGCCACTCGGAACGCGACAAAGGAGTCGAACATTACCCAGACGGAATCTGAAATCATTACAGAGAACTCTTTGTTCGTCTCGGTTAACCGACATCTTGGCTCGGTAAGATTTCAGCTTTTACAGACTTGGCAAAAAAAGAAGAAAACCAACTTAAAATAATCACCGATACTTAAAATTACACGCGCTTTCTTCTTCTCTTGCCTAAACTTGCAGCCCCCAAGAAGCTTTCTCTCTCTCTCTCTCTCTCTATATCTATCTGTCTATCTATCTATCTGCATATACATGTGCGTAAATATATATATATATATATATATCTATATACTGCAATATACATTTTTGTTTTTCTACGTTTACTCATGGTTTCTAATTTGAAGTACAGAGAAGGTTGACAGGAGCAAAGAGGGCTCGTTCAGGATGGACGAACAGTGGATATTTAGTCGGGTCAAGCTCTCAATGGTGTTGTTCATGGTGTTCTCCTCCTTGTTTTGTAGAAACCCAAGGTTATGTTGGGGTCTGAATGGTGAAGGTAATAATAGAAACCAGAGCATTTCCATTTTTGGAGCTTAATAGGATCGCTCTGGTTTTCTCATTTAATAAAAAAACGTTTTCAAAATAAAATTTTATTTAGTTAATTGTGTTTTGTACTGGAAAATTGAAGGTTTGGCTTTGTTGAGATTCCGGGAGGGAATTGAGGAAGACCCGTTCGGTGCATTGTCGGGTTGGGATGATAGAGACTTGGATCCTTGCTACTGGTTGGGTGTTGAGTGCTTTAATGGAAAAGTAGTGACATTGTAAGTCCATCCCTGCAAATATTTCTCTAATACCTGTTCTTGATACTCCTTGTTTTCCAGTTGTGAGTATCTTACGATCTACAGTTTTTAGTGTATTTTTTATGATTGACACTTCTCAGTTATCTCAAATTAGAATCCACTAGCTACTTTTTTCATCAATTAAGTGGAAAATCGAATTTTTTTTACACGTTTCATATACCAGTGTTGGTTAGAATCATTGATCAAGAGAATTAGATCAATTCGGCTGTATTAATATTTATTAGAAAATCAGTGATCAAATCAATTTAATGTATGTTAAGTATGTCATGGTTTTGATCTTTTTAGTTTAAGCTAAATGTTTAGTGTGATTTCTATTGTGTTGTGCCTGAAGTTAGATCTATTCAACTTGCAGAAACTTGAGTGATCTTTGCCTAAGTGGGAGGCTGTCACCCGAAATTAGGAAGCTGCCCTACTTAAAATCTCTGTAAGCATATATTCAGTTTAGGCCTTAAAATTTTTATATACAAACCCTTGAGATTTGATATTGATTGTCTTAATTTTCTGCAGTATTCTGCGCAACAATTCTTTTTATGGCAATGTCCCTAGTGAGATTGGAGAATTGAAGGACTTGGAATTGTTGGACTTGGGATGTAATAACTTCAGTGGAGAATTCCCATCTGAATTTGCCAATAATCTCTCCTTGACTACCCTGTAGGTTCACCCTTTAAAGGCGTTTGCACTATCGTTTTTCTGGTATACTAGCATGTTCTTTTGCCTTCTCGGATAATTTTTGAAGAGCAGATGTGATTTGTTTTGCAGTTTACTTGACAACAATGAGTTCCTTGGCTACTTGTCACCTGAACTTTATGAGCTTAAGATTCTTTCTGAATTTCAGATGATTGAAAGCCAGCTAACTAATGCTGGTTGTAGAGCATCTTGCAGAAGCGGATTCTTTTTCTGGTAAGCAAAGAAGTTCTTGGTAAAGTTTTAAGTAAAGTTTCCCATCTGTTTGCTGAACTTTCATTCATGTTGAACTCAGGCTAAAATTGTTAGAAAGATGTTAACTATATGATTAGGAAGAGAAATGCAGTAAAAGTTGAAGTTTGAAATGAGAATAATATGAAATTATATTTTCTATCCAAGCTACATGGATTTTTGAATCGTACTGCTAACTGGGAAGCACAAATCTAATATCAAGGAATTCAAGGTAAGAGTGGAACTAAAGGTAAATATGATCTAATTCTATATTTCATGAATTGAAATTAAGGTGGAGTAGATTGGGATTGAGTCAAGCCTGGCCTCGTTTCATGTTTCTGTGCCTAAAAGTTGAAAACAATTCATGAAGTTCAAAGAAAAGGTAGATTGTGGCCTGGTGTTACTGCAAGATTAATGCACAGTCGTTAGAATATAACAACTGATGTTTCTGAATTATGGAATTATACATTTCTAATGATTTTCTGTGTTCCTATGATACATAATCCTGCATGTTTCAATGTTTACATGTTTGAGTTTCATGATGATTTTCCTTGTACTTCTTATGAGCAGTTCTCAACCTGGAGATATTGCTCATCATAGGCAACTGCAGTTGGTGAATGCCCCAAGTCCATTCAGAGCTGCTAGCGAGGGGAGTCTTCAAGCATCAAAATCAGTTTCAAGCTCGCTCTCTCCATTGTCACAATCTTTTAAGTCGTCATCATCTGAATCTCCAACTTCAGTATTGATTTCCCCATCAAATTCACCAGTGTCCTCTCCATCAGCATCTCCTTTGGAGTCTCCATTATCTGCTCCAGTAGCATCTACTTCCAGCATATTTTTGAGTCCTTCACCTTCACCTGCAGTAGTAACAGCTCCAGCCTCAGTAGCTCCTGCAAATGGAATGTTTGCTGCCTCTCCACCACAATCACATGTGGATCCTATTCCTTCCCCTGCTTCAACTCCAAGCAAAGTAGCCAAGAGTTCAAATTCAAGGCATCAGCTGTTTCTGATTATGGCTGTTGCTTTGGGTAGTACTTTGCTCATTTTAATCTCTGTCATTGGAATTATCTGTTTCAGAAGCAATAAAGTGGTTACTGTCAAACCTTGGGCCACAGGTCTAAGTGGGCAGCTGCAGAAAGCATTTGTAACAGGTTATTTTCTTGCATAGAAGTAAAGACAGGAGAACAATCTGATTACAGCAAAACTGGATTTGCTTTCCACTTGATTCATCTATCATGCATTTGTTAATGTGCCTCTATACTCATGATTCAGTATCTGGATTTCAGGTGTCCCGAAGCTCAAGCGAGCAGAACTTGAATCAGCTTGTGAAGATTTCAGTAACATAATTGGAAGATCCTCAGATGGTACAATTTATAAAGGGACTTTATCTAGTGGGGTTGAGATAGCTGTAACATCTGCTACAGTCAAATCTCGAGCCTACTGGTCAAAGAATTTGGGAGCACAATTCAGACTGAAGGTAGCTAGACAGCGAAGAAATTTTGTAGAAATTCATGCCTTTTCTCCATATCTCACTGTATGTGGATTTGGTTGCCTCTGCAGATTGATACACTATCGAGAATGAATCATAAGAACTTTGTGAACCTTATTGGCTATTGTGAAGAAAATGAGCCTTTCACAAGAATGATGGTTTTTGAGTATGCTCCCAATGGAACACTTTTTGAGCATTTGCATAGTAAGTACTCTGTGCCTTTTAACTTTTAGATACATATAAAGAAGCAAAGCAAACAATTCTTGAAATCATTCTGATTTTAGAATGGATATTCTCTTGATTTTCTCAAAGGCCTAGTAGACGTCTCTATAGTAAACCTTATTTTCCTCTTGCTGCATAGGTTCCTAATTTCTATTCAAGAAGTAACAGAATGAGATTGAGTGTATTGCATCTGAGTGCGAGTGAAAACCTTTATAAATATTCAGATTTTCTATAGTGAATTGGTGTGCCATCTCTTCCGTGAACATATATCATAGTTGATCAATCCTAAATCCTTGTTAGTGATTGATTGACTGGCTGTTGCGTTTATCTGCGGACAACAGTTTAGTTATGCATTTCAAGATGAGTTGCGTAGTCTTACCGGACGATGTTGAATTTTGGATTTTTTTTTTAGTACAAGAAGCAGAGCACTTGGATTGGGGAATGCGACTACGAATTGCAATGGGCATGGCATACTGCCTTGAGTATATGCACCAGCTGACTCCACCTATTACCCACAGGAACCTGCAATCTTCCTCTGTATATCTGACTGAAGATTATGCAGCCAAGATATCAGACTTCAGCTTTTGGAATGACAAAGCTGTGGCAAAGACAGGGTCTAACATGGAGCTTTTAGAATCTCCAACAGCAGATCCTGCAAGAAATGTTTACAGCTTTGGGGTTATTTTGTTTGAAATTATAACAGGTAGGATCCCATATTCAGTAGACAATGGATCTCATGCAGACTGGGCATCAGACTATTTGAAAATGGAGCAGCCCTTGCAAGAAATAGTGGATCCAACTCTAAAATTTTATGAAGAGGACGCGCTAGACAGGTTGCTCAAAGTGATTAAAGATTGTGTCCATCCTGATACAAACGAGCGACCAACAATGATTGAGATTGCATCTAAGCTGAAAGAGATCACAGCAGTGGGACCTGATGGAGCAATACCAAAGTTATCTCCACTTTGGTGGGCAGAACTTGAAATTCTGTCTACAGACAGTAGCTGAGGGCTCAGTTTATCCTTCAGTGGAGTTAGAATTTTACTTCTTTGTCTTCTCTATTTTTCTCCTGTTTCTCTTATCGGGAAACAGTGGTATCTAGGGCAGATACTGCTTGTATCTAATACAAGGCACACAGCTGTTTTTGTATATAACTGAGGATGAAAAACCCAGTGGCTCTTGTTCTTCGCTTCTTTTTTATTTGCTCTTTGTTAAATTCTTTATTTCATCTTCTAATGTTGTCCTGGCTTTCCCCTCAAGTTTTGGTTCCTTTTGATCATGTAAATTTCTGTATATGGATCATACTTGCTAGAGAATAAATATATACTTCTTTAGACAATTCTGATCTTTGACTCCCCCTTACTTCCTCCTCTTCTACTGAACTAGATTATCAATCAGTCTCACATGGATTCTCAAGTATTAGATAAAAAGCTTTTATCTCAAAAGAGAAGTATTAGATTAAAGCTCGTAAATCAACCACACATTCTAATGCATGTGGAAAGGAAAGAAGAAAGAGTGCAAGAAAGAAAGAACAAAAGAAAGAAAGGGGACTAAAATCTCATGATTCATTTCCCTGAAGTGGGAGATTTTGCTGGCAGAAAGAAAATAGTTTATCTGTATTTTAGGCAAATACATATTTTCCAACAATTGGAAATAAAAAAATGCATAAGAAATCTCCCTGAATCATGACCCTGTTCATGTACAAGAGGAACCGAGAAGGTAGAAAACTACTATTTCTACTGACATGCTTTGCATACCCTGCATCATTTTCTCACGCAACCCGTCTCTGCCATAGGTACCCAGATTTCTGTTGAAGCAAATTTGGAGATCTTGCTAGGAGCTTGCAATTATCAATTTCCTCATTTTCTCCCGATCTAATCTTGCCTTGTCAATGTCATGCTCAATTAACGGCTGGATGCTCAAGAAGACCAGGTTTGCCATTTGTAAAGTTTATATGCAAATGGGAAATTATTGATCTTCCCCTGGGAACTGTTTTCAAAAGTCCCCACATGTTAACTCCATCAGTAGCAGATCATCGTTATTTCTCACTCAAGCTGCTGACAAGTGCTTCGGCCCTTTGCTCTATTATACAGGTCAAGTGTATCTGTGTAATTTGGGTCCAGGCAGAGAGCTGCCTCACAGTCTCGTAGAGCAGAGGTGAGATCTCCAACTGCTTCGTAAAATGCAGCTCGAAGATGCAGCATTTGCAGGTCAGGCTTGAAAGATATGGCTTTTGTAAGCTCCTCAATTGCTGCAGTTTCTTTCTGGTCATCCATTAGAACTGCCAATAGACATTCTGTATGTTAGTACATGCTCAGGAGTCATTAGCTCATAGGCTTGCGTTAAGGTCAGGAAAGATGAAACTACTGAACTAAAATTCAAGAGATATGATAGTTTTCCTAGAATATTTAAAGAAAATATTTTTTTGACACTCTGGCAAATGGATCAATCTGATTGTATTCATTCAAGTAATTCTCAATGGTGTCCAGTCAGTGGATGCCAAATACGTAAGATGATAAATAGCCACTTGTTACACTATGATCTAAAATTGAATCTTCAGAACTAATACAGGCCTCAATTGAAACAACACAAATGCAGGAAAGAGAAGAAACTAAAATTCAATCAGAATCAAGTTGCAGAAACTAGATAAGTATTGGCAGTTAAGAAATTACCAGCTGCTCTGTATCTGTACGGGTATGTTCTCAACGGATCCAACTTTGTTGCCATATTGAGATCATTCTTTGCCATCTCACGATCACAATATTCTGATCTTTTCTCATATGCTGATGCACTATTGTGTGCCTTCTCGATCAGCTTAGTCATCTCATCAAATGCAGCTTTTCGCTGATTTCTCAGAAAAGAGACCCGCGCTAGCCCTTGGTGAGCTCTTGTGTGCTTGATTTCAAGTGCATTCATGTAGCAGTTTGCTGCTAAATCTAATTCACCAGAATCAACATAAATACTCCCTAAATTATTCAATGCCTGCAAATACCAAATAAAAAATCAAACAAAGTGCAGAGAGGCCTAAATTATAGCATAGATGCTACCTAAGTTGATAGAGGTAGCCTGCATATTGAATCAAATTCCAATAATAGCACAAACATTATGAAATGGAGAGGTTATTTGCTGCTCTTTAACTTATTACCCTTATAAGACTCCTAAAAACCGAAAAAAGAAGAGAAGAAAGGAAGAAAAAGAAGCCTAGTCTTGATGTAACTTACTTGGCCTTTCCGAAGACCATCTGAAGGACATCTAAGAGCTTCCTCCAGAAGTTGAATGACACAAGATGAGGATTTAGGATCAAGATTTCTATCTGCAAGTATATATGCTTTCAGGAAAAAGGCTTCAAATGATCTTTGAATCAAAATGGACTTCTCAGCTCTAGCAAGAGCTTCTTCATGATGACCAGTGTCATATAAAATCCACCCTTCATAGATCAACCTTTCATGCTCAGAACTAGAATCATTCCGAGCTGCACGCAAACAGCGCATGGCGACCTTCTGACAATTTAACCTGTCAGAATCACAGATCTCAAGTATTTATTACACCGACAGGTCAACCACTTTACAGATTAATATTGTTTCAAACGTTCTCTATGAATAAAAATTACATCAGTAAAGATGCTAACATTTAATGAATCGAGCAAAAAAGAAAGATTTCAATTCATGAAGTAATGAGACTTCCAAATAGGATGAGCATGTAAAAAATGCATGACCATGGTAACATGCTCAAGCAAAAACTGCATCCAAAGAAGTTACTCATAATTTGTGTGAGAACAAATATACCTGAGAAGAAGAAGAGATTGTCGAAATCTTAGGAGGCTCTTTCCAGGATCATTCTCCAACATCTGATGAATGACAGCAAGCGAGCCAATATCATCTACAGAAGACCATCTATCATACAGTTGCATCCAGCAATCTGCCTGACTCCACTGCTGAACCTGTTGGCCAAGAAGCTCAACCAGATGATCTCCATTCATTTCTCCATGGAACATCATGTAACCGGGGTGTAAAGTTAACAATGCTCTAACATCTCTCAGAGCAGACTCATAATCCTCAACAGCAATGAAGAACCAAACTCGTAATTCAAGGCAGTCGGGTGTTAACTTAAATCCAATTATCCTGTCAATCTCCAAAATAGCTGCTCTAATATCCTTTTCCTCTGCGTTCATGGCAGCCCTGAATTTATATGGAAAAGACAGTGTTGGGTCCAGCTCGGTTGCAGTGTTCAAATCTGCTATCTTTTCTTTACCTAGATTATACAAAGATCTCTCCTGGTACATCCAGCCAACTGGCTCGTACTTGGTGATGAGGAAGCTCATCAATTGATAGGCTGAATACTCTTGGCCTTGCTTATACTTGGTTCTTGCAACACCAGCTAATGAATAAATATGCCCTGCCTCTGCAGCTGAAGCAAAATAGTACTGAGCTGTTGTGAACTCCTTTCTCTCGAACATCACACAGCCCAGTTGGTGAAAAGAAAAAGCCTTTTGCCATTTCTCTGTTGCACATTCCTCCATTCTCTCCAGCAGCATTACTGTTATATCTGACGCCATATCATCTTCCATAGCCACCTGACTCAGGAAATAGTACAAAAGGAATGAAGCTTGACCCACCATGGCTAATCTTTCCTTAGCCTCAGAGCTGCAGAATATTCTCATTATTTTCGGGTTATGAAGAGATTTTGGAAGCTCTCGAAGCAAGACCTGGAAGCAAGAAGCTACAAGGAGATTTGCCCTTTCCTCTAATCCATATTCAACAAAGATCAAGGCATGTTCTACTGTACTGACCAGTGAAGCCAAATGAACATCACAAACACACTTCATCTGTTCACAACAGAACTTGTTTGCAAAAGAAAGGAGCTCCAATACAATCATAGGAGAAAAGAAATCCAATTTTCTGGTCCTACTATACAATTCTACAGCTCTCATTCCTTCTACAGAAATACCATTCCGTGAAAAATCAATCTTAGAGCTTCTTGACTCCACAAAATTACCATATAACATCGCCTTAAATGGACCCGAAAGAGCAGCAATTTTAAACCGCATACAACTTATTTCCTCATTGCCGACAGAGAATGACACATCGCCACCTTCTTCTGGACCCAAATGCTCATCTCCCTTATAGTTTTGAGCTTCAATTGACCCCGCATGGTCCTCAAAACAATTACAATGATCATAAATCGAATTTGGATCGTACCCAGATACCAAAGCAGCCTTAGGACATTCAAGAATAAAGCCACTACAATCCATTGACGACACACCCACAAGCTCATCTTCTCTCCTCTCATACCTCAACCAAGCTGATAAGACCACCTTCGAGTGCACATCAATGGCGTGTTGTCTCGCAGCACGAAGACACCTGCGCAGCAACTTCGGGTCACCAAGGTCACGCAAGATAGAGTACTGCTCGGTGCATATCGTTGATATCTCTGATTGCGGACAAGCTTCGAGTCTTCTGTAAAGGTCAGCTAAGGTTTCCACGAAATGGATGGGTTTAAGGTGCGGCTCTATGGGGGGTTCAAGGAGGTCAGTTACAGGGAGTCCATGAGATAGCATCAGAACTTGAGCCACTGAAAATGAGTTGCTCTTATTGGATTTTGACCCAATAAACTTCATTCTATGGCTGTTAAGCTTACTTCGGGTAGAACCGCCGGCGGTGCTACCGGCGGCTGAGTCTTGCTGGTTTAAAGCATGAACTTGGGTGCTCTTGAATCTGTCTAAGAACTTAAGAGCAGGCATATTTGTATTGAGAAACTACTGATATATCATATACAGAAGATTGCGGAAACAAGATTCAAGTTGTTTAACATATAAACACAGAGAGGAAAAAAGAATAGGAATAATTTGCAGCTGTTTACCTCCAGTTCGCTACCAATAAAGAGTAAGAGAAAGAAAAGCGTGATGCAGCGCAAGGTATAAAAGGGTCAAAAGGGTGTCAGTTTCTCGAGAAAACAAGAAAGAAAACTTTGAGTCATTTGCATTTTCTTAGACTTCATTTCATGGGAAAGATTCTTGAGAAACTCATGGGTGTGTGAGTGTAAACAAAAGGGCCCCGGCCTGACTGATATTGGAAAACTCCGTAGTGTTTCAAGCTTTGGTTACCGGAACTGTTGGTTGATTAGGTGGCTCACTTCACTACAACGCAGCACAGAATAGTAACAACTATTACGCAATCCCTTTGCGCCACGCCAGCATAACGGAGTTTGGTCAACTAGACCTCTTTCTTCTAATTAAGGAATGTTTGGTTAATTTATCAAGAAGGAAAAGCGGATAAAGTGACGAATTACATATGAAGCAAAGGTTGGGGGAGCTTTTGATTAGCCGATTAATAATCTACTGTAAAGTAAGTTAGTGGGTCTAATCAAACACCAAACAAATCCTATAGAAAATGAATTTGAAAAGAGTACTGAAATTTGGACTATTTTAAAATTAAAAGTTTGTATATTAAATTAAAATTTTAATGTTAAATTATCAAAAGACTTGTAAACTCCAAGTTTATAAAAGGGTTAATTATAAATTTAAAATTGATTTAAAATAATAAAAACTTTTAACTTATTTATAAATGGGTAACTTTATAATCGTAATATTACTATAAAAAACAAACCAAATTTTATATTACAATTAATTTTTCTTTGAAAAGTTTATTTTTACCACACAATAAGTTGCTATATATCTAATATTAACTTGTATGTACTTCAATTAATTCACTTAGCTTGATTCAAATATGGAAAAGGAGATGACCCATATCGATTAGCCATCTAATCAAAATAGATATGAAAATCTTTTTGGCATCTCTAATCATCAAAGAGGTGAGTTTGATCTATTGGTTATATGTCTAAATCATGTATGGTAGTTTATTTTAAATAAATAAAATAATATGAGAGGTACTCTTAATTTTTTTTATTAAATTAAAGTGCATGAAATAGTAATTACTGCAAAACCTCCTTTTAATCCCTCTGATTATAAATAAATAAATAAATCAAGTTCATGAATGGTACTCTTAATTGTTTATTAAGAAAAAAGTTCATGAAAGATTATTGTATATAAAATATTACTTACTAACAAAACCCATCTTAATCCCATTTAATTAAAAAAATGTCATGGATGGTACTCTTATTTTTTTAATTAAAAAAGTTAATCAATGGTTGTTATGCAGATTTGTTCTTAATTAAAATACATAAGATGATGCTTACTGCGAAACACCTCTTAACCAATTTGTTAACACATGCACTGTCAAGGAGAGATCACTATGCCACTAACCAATATTTAAATAATTAAAAAATTAAGGTGATTATAATTTATTGACCAAATTATTGATGATTAGGTAAGCATTAGATTAGATCTATATATATGCATGTATATTTTGTTACATAAAAAACAAAAGAAATGTTGATCACTAGACTCCTAAAAATTAGTTGGGTAAATAAAATTATTGATGAATAAGTTTGAATTCGAGTTATCTTTTTTATTTATTTATTTATAAAATAAATGTAGCGCCCGGAAAGGAGGAGGAAAAAAAAAAAAAAAAAAAAAAAAAAAAAGGGGGGGGCCACGTCAGCAGGCCCGGTCAGCAGTCCCGGCCAACCGGGGCCTGCCACGTGGCAAGATCGCGTCACTCCGAAAGGAGCCACGTTGGCGATCCGCGTGGGTGCGATCTGACGGCCCAGATCAATCACGCGATCGGACGGCCCAGATTCAAACGCACGGACGGCCCAGATTCAATCAAAAACGAACGGTCCAGATTAAAACGAAACGAACGACTGTGATCAAAAGGCAAGGGGTTATAAATAGAACCCCCACACCAGACCAAAAACCCTAGCCGCCAGCCGCTCGCCGGAGAAGACGAACCAGAGGCCGACCGCCGCCACCCGCCGCCACTCGCCGCCGCACCGGGGAAATTTCCGACCGCCGATCGAGGTAAATTTCATACTCCCGACTCGTTTTTCCCCACTGATTCCTCCTATGGCCAAATCGAAGCCGAAATCCCGGCCAAACGGCCGGAATACGCGGCCGAAGCCCAGCGGCGCCGCCGCGTCCCCTCTCGGTTTTTGCCTCCGACGAGGCCCTTCCCGGCCTCCGTTCGATGCAATTTTTATATCACCGTGATCACCATTCTTTTCTCTACAGGTTGACCGAAGCCAAATCACCAAAACACGAACTTCGCCGGAGAGTCGCCGTACCCGAGAGCGCCGCCGCCGGTAAGCTCCGCTTTTCCGTGATTTTTTGGCCCCCCGAGGGCCCTAGGGTTGTTTTCTGACAAGGACCAATGTGAGTGTGGCCGAATTCGGCCAAAAACGGCCGGAAACAGTCAACCCGAGGCGACTCGCCGCCGCCAGCGGCGGCGCCGTCGCCGGAGCACGGCGGAGCCGCCGTGCCGGAGTTGCGATTTGGGCCGAAAGAGGCCCTGGGCCTAATTTGGATTTTTTTTTGGGAACCCGTGCAGGTACTGTTAGCGTGTTTCAGTTCCCCGGGAAAAATTCAGGGAAAATTAGGGACAGCCTGCAGGCGCACTGTGAATCGTATTCGGATCCCGAAAACAAGTAAGGACCCCTCACCTTATTTCCTATCACGGTATTAAAGTTCAAAATGATAAAACGGTATTTCTTGAATTAACGCATGTGTGAAATTGCTTAAGGTTGCTAATGGAGCCCGAGTCTAGTGTGATTAATGATTTACTGTTGTTTGGCATGTTTTACACTGTTTTACAGCTTTAAATGCATTATGGGGTTTGATGTGTTCATTTTATAATTTCGAATGCATATATTACTGTTTTATTAATTATGGGTTGAATGACTGAAGAACTGATACTGTATGTTGTCTGTTCGGCATGAATTACGATTTGCTTGTTTAAATGTGAATTGATGATGCTTATTGAGGAAAAAGGGAAATGAAACATTGTATAGACTGATAATTGTATGATGGGGACAGCCTGACTAGATATCCTGGGAGATGGTGGACGGACCGGGTCCGTAGGGAACCCTACCGGGATTGTGGTCTCACATGCCGGACGGGGCATGGAGATCTTATGGTTTTGGCGCCCATACCGGACGGGGTATGGGGACGGCCCGTTTCACCCTCATACCGGACGGGGTATTGAGGTTTATGGTTTTGGCGCCCATACCGGACGGGGTATGGGGACGGCCCTGGAAACTGATTATGAATGTTAAAGGTTAACGGGTAGCGGAACCCCTATGGACCCCCACGGATACTAGTAGGCTGGTAAATGAGAAAAAAAGATATGTTGTACAATGATTGAATTACAAGAGGCGTGATAAGTGTTATGTTTTACAGCTTAGATTATTCAATGATTATGATAATGTTATTGTTTTTCTCATATTGTTTTCATAAATTCCACCGAGGTAAGTGGATGGTAAAGGTTTTGTTGTTAATAAACGAGTTTATTGTAAATTATGCTCCATTGGTCTTTTTGTGGTTTTCTACCCACCTTTATCTCCGTGACGGTGAGATATCGTGATGTTCTTACTGGGCTAGTGTAGCTCACTCCTTAATTAACCATTTCAGATCAGGAAGACATGGTTCCCGAGCCCGTTCCGCAGGAGGACGACGAAGGGGATGCCTAGAGACTCTGTAGTCATACGCATAGTTTATTTTCGAGTTTTCTTTCTTAGTTAGTTTAACCTTTTATATTTTAAGTACGTCTGTTTGGTTTTTCGTGTAAGGGATGTTAACTGAAATTTTGATCTCGCTTCCGCATTCGATATATTTAAATACTCATTTCATTTTAATATTTTCCGGGGTCGTTACAATAAATAACTTTAATTTTATTTTTATAATTCGATATTATGTAACTAATTTATTTATGATGTAAAATTAAAGAATATTTATATGTATTTAAAATTTTGTTAAATATAAAATAGATAATAAAAGAGCAAATCAGTGAAATAAATAGCCAAGAAAAAACATGAAATAAAATTAGAAAAAATGAAATCATAATTTTTTTTTGATATAAAAAAGTGGAGATAATTTGTAAAATTACTCAATGGATTTATTTTGCATAATTGCAAGTTGCAAAGAGAGATGGATGAGAGAAGGAGAATATATGCGACTGGCAGGTCTGTCTGCGATGAGCGTAACGCCAAATTATGTGATCATCACCTGCCTTACCAACCCATGTGAAATTCAGTATTACTTCCCACTAGAGGTGAGCTTTCGGGTGGATAATCCGCTAACCTTTTTAATTTATTTTGTATAGAATAAATAAAAATTTATTATTTAAAATAAATAAAAATTTATAAATTTAAAATAATTAAATGACGAATATAAATTTAATAATTTATATAAGTATGATATTTGGATGCATTAGTGTTAAAAATAATAAGATAGTACATGACTAACAAGCATATATCCTAGGGAGAATAAAGTACAGAAATTTTGCCCTTTTGATTTGTAATTGGAATTTGGATCCCACCACAATAATTGAAACATTAAAAATCTCTGAAATTTACTCTAAATTCTATGTGATTGCAACAGTGAATTTTTAGTACTTTATCGTAGGATACTTATTATATATGGCTCTGCTCTTCAATAAATACATAAGTCACTCCAAGTGGGAGGGTTTCTTTATGGCATTTCAAAAAAATAGTAAA